CACCGCTGGGACACTCCCAGGGCTCCAGCCACCCCTCTCCAGCGTCTGTCCCAGGCCTGCACGTCTGCCCTCACTGCTCTGCTCTGCTTTCGCCACGGTGCACCACAGCCCCCCCTGCACACCGGGCCAGTGAGCGGGGAACCCTCTCTGGGTAAGTCCCCCTGTGGGGTTCAGCTGTTCTGCAGGTTTGCAGGGCACGAAGTGGGTGTCACAATGCAGTAAGAGCACAGCATACTTGTAATTGAAAGGCTCCCATCTCAGATTGCATTGCACAGTGCTGTTGTCACAGCAAAATCGCCTGATTTGTCCATGGAGTTTGTCTGGCTTTGCCCTGTGTTAAGCTCTACTACTACTACACAACTGGTGGAAAAACGTTTTTTTTTTTATGAGGACTGTCCTGCTGCGCACCTCGGCTCGGGCCGTGTTTCTGCGTGGCCTGAGTCTGGACCCCTAAGCCCCTCTGTCGGCCTGATGGGGGGGGTCAGTCCCCCAGGGATTAGTGACCATCAAGCCAGCCCCGCAGGGGGTCTGGCCAGCGCTGGTCAGAAGGTTCTAGCCTTCGTCACGCCCTCCAGGCAGCGAGCAGCCGGCCCCCTCTGTCCGTGCAGAGCCCTTGCTGGGGTTCTGTCTGATGCGCGGAATGGGGTTCCTGCTGGACGCCCGTGTCCTCGTGATTCTGCTGTACGTGAGCAGGCGTGAGCTCATGAGCCGACGGCAGACACGCCTGAGCAGGGGGGGGACACTGCTGCCCCCCCATCCCAGTGTCCGTCCTGCACGGGCCCCTCACACCCAGCCCAGCCGCCCTCGTTCCCGGGGGCCGGCGCAGGACGGTGCCCCAGTCCTCGAGACGGGGCGCCGGGGGTCCTTACCTTCTCCGAGGGGGTGATCAGATAGACCGCCTCCAAGCTGGGAAGGGGTTCCCGGCGCTTGTTGATGTCCTCAACAACTGGCATGGAGAAAAGAGGGGAGAGAGAGAGGGAAGGAAAGGACAGACAATTCTCTGTTAGTCGGAAAAATGAAAAAGCCTTAGGACTCCATCGGCTCCTCGACTGAAGAATGTCTGCAAGCCTGCTGTGGCTCGGATCACAAGGAGGGCAGCAATGGTGACGCTGTTGTCACGTGTCCAGTTACACTGCTTTCGCTTTGGGAGCAAGAGCGCCTCCTACTGGTCCATTAGCACCACTTACAAGAGCAGCCCTTTGAGGTCCACCCCCCCCATCCCAGTACCGGCCTAGCTCGGCCTTGCTGAACTTCTGAGATCTGACAAGATCAGGCCCCAGGGCGGTAACGTTAAAAAAACATCGTTATAAAGGACAAAAACAGACTATCTGTCACCCCATTTTGGCTTAAAAACAGAAATGTGCTCTTCATTAAACCTTCAACAGAGCAAGCAGGCGCTCAGTTGATCCTCTGACTGGACTCCCTGACTTGATTCCCTGCATGTGGAGTAAACAGCACTGAGCTCCTCAATTGCTCTAATGAGTTTTGCTTTGTTCCTCTCTGTGCAAATGCTGCTGCACTCCAGTGTTCAGGGTGAATCAGAACATCTTACTGTTCTCCTACTGTGGCTTTGGGTGTAAGATCTGTGCAGTCTCACAGGCTGCACGCAGGTGGGTGGCTACTGTGGCTCCTGGCTATGTAGTGGGCTGGCCTGGCCAGGGGGTTCGGACAGTGGACTCACTGGTGATCCCTTCTGTCATGATGTCCGTCATCTTGCAGCAGGAGGACAGCATCCTCATGCTGAGCTGATCCACCACCAGCACCTGGAAGTACAACAATCCCGGATCAATCCTGAGGGATGTCATATCGCGGGCGAACCGATATTTTGGAAAAATACCCAGGCACGGCAAAATCCACTGGCAGGAAGATTCAGACGGTTGACCTTGTGTTTTGGACAACAGTCTGGCCGTATCCCAGCGGTGAAGCAGGTGTGTCACGGATTTTGCTAGGGGATCCTGTCTTCGAAACCCCATTTGTTTTTCCAGAAATTGACTTTACTGTGGTTTGGAAACGGCATCTCCTCATACAACACTTGGATCAGGAGAAAGCCATACCTTGGCCGTGAAGAAAAAGCGAATGCAATTTGGATGAATTTGAAATCTTTTTAAAACGATACACAGTGACGACTCTGTGATTCCCCGTGACGACACCATGCTGCACCACGGCAACAGTACAAATCACCGTGACAACACCGTGCTGCACCAGGACAACGGTACAAATCACCGTGTCGACACCGTGCTGCACCGTGCCGCTGTTTCGATTCACCGTGACGAAGCAACGATTCTCCTTGATTTACTGCACGACGTTGATGAATCAAAGTCGGGGTCATGACGCGCGCCCAGGACAGCCAATCGGAAAGAAGGGAAAATCCCGGCAGCTTTCAGGCCGTGCGCTGTGACGGGGGACAGAGGGACAGGGGCCCGCTGACCAGACCACTCACCTTCCACTCGCTCTTCTTCTTCACCTTCTTGATCACGTCGTTCATGATCTCTGCGGAGACACAAGGACAGGCGGCGTGCCGTCAGGAGCTGAGCCGGTGTCCAGACGCACGCCACACGCCACACACGTGTCTCTACACAGCCACATCACCCACATCCAGACTCCGCCTCCATAAACACAAATGCAAGAGACTGTTCCCCGTTTAATTTGAAAGGAATCTGTCTTTTTTTCGTCCGTCTCCAGTTCCAACTGGGCGAGTTTTCTGGACAAGAGGAGTGGGGAAGCCTAGTGCCCTGCCATTCCCTGCAGCACCTGCAGAAACTGGGGCAAGGGGGTGCACAGTGCCTCAGGTGCCAGGGTTAGTACACCCTGAAGCGTGCCATCACAGGGACACGCGGACAGTATTCAAGTTTCACCTCCTTCTATGTGGACTAAGACCATTCCCTCCTGCAATGAGCAGCTGTTAGGCTAAACGTATCCATACGCGATCTCTCTTCTGAGCCTGTTGAACACCCATTGGCTCCACCACAGCGGCGCTGGTGAATGAGCTACTGCACAGTCCTGATTTTAATGGACTTCACCCAGCCCGATGAGAAGGCTTCGATTGTAGTTCTCCCCCCTCCCCCGCCTGTATAAAAATGTGTGTGTCCACGGGTTCTAGCCCCACTGCCGGTTGTGTCTAGTGCATCTCTTCGCACCACGCAGCTATATTTGGACCAGCCACGAGGCCAGTCTCATGCCGATGAGTTGTTCCTGGACAGCAGCCATCTCGGGAATCTCTCAGGGATTTCAGGGCGTTCCTCAGACACTGTCTCCCCCTCTCCGGTCCTGTGGAGTGACAACTCCAGCCAGCACCCCCCTGCATGCATCCCACCCCCCTGGGCTACCTCTCCCCCCCCCCACTACCGGACATAACCAAGGCTGTCTGTGGTGGGGCGGCCACAAATGTCCCTATTGCACTGAGACCACCCTGCACCCTCACAAGCCTCTGGCTCCCAGACAGGTGCCGCTGTTAGGAACAAGAGCCCTCACTCATGGGAAAAGAACATCCCAAAGTGCTTTACCCTAAAGGAGAACCAGCTCAGGAAGTCCAGAGCAAAACCAGGCACCACTCAACTCAAGACACTGTGGGGAAAAATCGCTGTAGAAGCTGGAATTTAAGGCCCGGATAGATTGGCTGTGATTTGGCTTTTTCAGAGGGACCGGAAAGCCATGGGCTAACACAACTGGCCCCGGACAGATCTGGTCCCGTCCCAGCTCGGCGCTCTTCCGGAGAGCCTTGATGGACCGGACCGATCAACAGCCCGGTCAGAGCACAGGCTGGAAACTTCTACAGCAGCGCCCCTCACTCCCGGTCCTGGCCTGAAGCAGTGAGTCGTATGAACGAGAGAGCAACCGATTCAGAATAAGTCGTCGTGAAGCCCAGGGGGGGCGTGGACACCAGCAGGCACGGCGTCCCGCCAGGACCAGGAGCGGATATCTGGTTTGAATCGGTGGATGATGCCAAGACACCTAGAAATCCTGCCGGACTGTAGAGTCAGCGTTTCCCACATGTGGTGCAAGAAGCCGATTCGTGGAGCCCTGTTAATACCCCCCCCCCAGCTCCGTGCAGGACAGGACAGAGACAGGCATCCCGGAAGAGAGGACAGTAAAGCAGATTGCAGCTGGTGTTGAGGGAGCCTGGTTGTCAGTGGGCAGGAGCGTATGGCTCCTGATCTCCATCTGTCAGAGCTGTGTTGCGCCGGCTTGTTGTGCCAGCATTTTGGTGTTGTTTCCTTCAATGAATCCACATTACGCGAATGATCCGCGGGAATATTATTTAATATCCGATAAGCAGTTAATTCGGAGTTAATCCTCAGCTCCGGGGAACGTGAGAGGGCCGTCCAGATGGGGCTCTCTCCTCCCTGCCACTACGGCTGGACGCCGAAGTCTTCAGGGACCAGCTGACCGCAGCCACTGAGAGCTTGATTTATCAATCTGAACTGCCTTTTCATCTCATTCCCCCCCCCGACGACATTTTGAAGATTTACAGATTACCATTGACGTGTTGGGGTCCCCAAAAAGGGGCAACTGATCTGCGCTTTGAATGAACAGGTGAAAAGATCAGTGGAGCCACGCGTGCCGAGTTAGGGAATTCAGTGCAGCACAGCTCGGCCATGATTACATTCATTGCTTTGATTAATCCACATCAGTTTCTGCGGCCGTGACTCAGATTTGACATTTCTGCTTGATCACGCTCACACTGAGTAACGGAGACAGACGGGAAGGATTCAGGGAATCTAGTCAGCAGACACAGAAATAAAGAGAAGAATGACGCTCTGTCTTGCCTGCTGCATAGTGATTGCGCTATTAAGATTACGACGGATCAGTGTACTTCTGCGGTCTTGCGCATGCTTTCTTCTGGAGGAAGAGACACCTGGCTTTGCTTACACCGATTCAAAGAAGAAACCGCCCAGTTTTGTAGCCAAGCAAGTCACCCAGTCCAGCAACCAGCTAATGAACTCAATTTTTTTCAGCAGGGCAGAACGAAGACTGAGATCAGTTTGAAAGAACCTTCTCGCGCCTGGAGACATTCGGTTAGGATTTAAAAAAAGTAACGCCACATTTCCTCCTCTGAATTCTCTCCTGGTCTCTGTGGGCCACGGTCCACCAGCTCTTAAGAGTATCATAGAATCCTCAATGAGAGAAACTGTAGAAATACAGAATAATTAAGTGAGCAGCGGATTCAAATCAGGTCTGTGTGTGTCCAGGACAGAAAAATAAAAACCTAGGAAACACAGCAGCTGGGGAACAGACGCAGGGAATTGAGGAAGAACAACAAAGAATACAGCATGCAGATTTAAGTGTATTCATTACAACTCATCGGTCTTTTATCCTGGCGTCTTTTTAAAAGCGTTATCAGTAGCAGTGGGGTGAAATCCGTCAGCCCTCGGGCCCGTACAGAGGAGCCAAGCGTCACCAGAAGATCGATCTTGAATGCTCGGGAGATGTAATTCAGTCGCGTGTGCGTGTCAGCAGTCAGCTGTGCTCAAGGTTGTGTGTAGGTGAGGTGATTTATTGCTGCGATTCGGGGACAGCAGGAGGGGGACGTGAGCCCTGGATCTGTGATCTCCCGTTTCGAATTTCGGCTCTTTCTCTCACCTGCGTATTGCGTGCAAAAGCGAGGAGTTATTTTTTTAAGCAAAAGGAAAAAAAAAGCAAAGACAAAAAGCAGCAAAGAGGTTTTGTGGGTTACGATTCACCATTGGATGCCAAGTTTATTTTTTGAAGGGAAAAAGACACCCAACCCCAACACTTGTGCAGCGCTGTTATGAGGGCAAACCTGGCCAAGTCTCTGAACGGACTGGCAGAGTGGCTGGTGACTCTTGACGTCATCTCAAGTGGACCCAACCCTAACGGGGACAGACTGGGCCCACTACTCCAGAGCTCTATGGTTCCGATTTAAGCTATGTAAGCTTGCTTTGGTACCAGTGTCATTTCAGGCCCAGAACTGGAGGCACTTATTTACCCAAAGGGTGGTAGGAGTCTGGAACAAGTACCCCAGCCATGTGATCCTGGGATCAATAAGCTACTAACTACCAGATGGCCTTCTCTCACGTATGGGCTCTCCTCAGAGTGGTGTTTAAGAGCCCTTGGGTCTGTTCTCTCCTTTGCTGGCGTGCGCCTGGTTGATTAAATCTGTTACAATAATTATTATTTCCTATTAATTATTATTATTATTATGACTTCTTTCTTTCAAAAAAAAAAAAGCAGGTACCAAAACCGAGGGCAGAACTAGCTGCCTCTCCACACTTATCTGTATTTAACCTTCACTATAGAGGGCTGCTGAACAAATATTCCCTGTAGTGCAATTTCCTGTTCGACATGCAGAGCAGGACAGAAAGAGTTAGCTCCGAGATGCGAGGCCCCAAGTCATCCCCTTCTTTCTCCAGCTGCCACTCCAGGAAATTACCATAACCCATAGCAACTCAGATCATTCTCACATAGCACAGACCCTGCCTTTAAAGCACGAGCACAGAAGAATGACTTGCAAAAGTTCTACAACACGAATCTTACCGACTGTAGTATACAAGTAGCAATGACAGAGCGGTATGCGAGAATCAGGCTGCCCCCGCGATCCTCGAGCGCTAAAATCCGGCCGGGAGCTGATCCTTAATTGCTTAATTGACCCTGCTCCTGAATCAATGAAGTCATGAGGGATGTCTTGGTGAGAGGGAGCCTCATGGTTTGAAGAGGGGCGCCAGTCTGGGGAGATGAGAGAGAAGGGGGGGGCGGAAGTGTCACGATTGTAGCCCACCCTCCTTAAGGGCTCTCCGGCTCTTTTCACTTTGAACTTAATTCTGTGCACCTGCCCCTTGCTCCAGCCTCCTCCCCGTTCCCCTTAAAAGCCAGACACTCGGTCAGTTCCGGGCTCTGCATCCGATTTCTGCATCGTGCGAGCTCAGGCCCTGGATCCATCTGGATCCGGTATGTTTTTAACTCTCTGCTCCTGTTCCCATTCCCCCCCGCCGGTTCCGGCCCGGCACCTGTTTTTAATCTCTTGTTTTGGATGGATCACCCGGCCATGGACTTTTGCTATCGTTCGGATTCCCCTTTGGACTTTTTCTAGGATCGTTTGCCTCGGCCACACCTCCCCGGATCACCGGCACTGCGTGGACACGCCCCCCTGTTTTCATCCCCGTATTCCTGCATGACTTTTTCCCCCCAGTGTTTCCTCACTGCTTCGGATTGTGTCGTCTGCATAGGGTCCGGAAAGAAGTGTCCGCTACCGGAAGGGGATTATGTCTAAATGTATCAAAACTCTTCGAACGGGGTGAATGCAAGAGGCCCCGGCAATCTCGAGTCTAATCTCCGCAAATCCTCTTACGTCTTGGGCCGAGCTATTTCTGTGATGGAGCGCGGGGGGCCGCCGTGAGCCGAACACACTCCCTGCCAGGGGGGGCCAGGAGACGCGGGCGCCGTGGAAGACAGGGGGGCCCTCGGGGTCCGGTCCCCCGCCGGAACCGAGAGCACGCTTCAGCTGTGCCCGCCTGAGCCGTTTTCCCCACCGC